TTCACATTAAAACGAATGTGACGTCACATTCCTTGAATAACAGTGCGCCCTGCATCGGGCCCCCGCTTCTTGGTCATTCCGACCCATTCGGAGCTAAAAGGTATTTGAGAGCTGGAAGTTAAGAAGTAAAATGGAAGAACAAAACGCGCACTGCGCCTATGAGCACACGCTAGACCTGTTCCCAAAAACGCCTTTTTTGAAAATCGACCGGGACCGCTCGAATTTTTGTTGCAAATAATTCAAAGCTTAACGCCCTTAAACCGTTTTGAGGAAGGACAACGCTAACCCGTGCCGCAAAGCAGTTCTTCTTTGTGTTTTCTCATTAAAACACGATATTACTAAATCAGCTGCCGTTTTTTAACGCTTAGGCCGATTTTGATGCCCTTTGCATGGTATGTTTGTTTTACACACTGGTAAGTCCCTGCAAAGTCCCCCCGCTGTAGCCCCAATACTTTAGGAGATATAGCCATTCAAAGTTTTGGTCAATTTTACACTTTTCCCAGAAATCACTAAATTTGCAGTTGGAGGTAAGACATCGACCACTTTGGCTCCTAAAAATCCGAACCAGCAATGTTTCGATGCGAAATTTTCTCAGGATTCCAAATATGCCCCCGTCAGTGCTGTAGCTCTTAGCGTTTCTATGTCAAATCGATGAAAAGAGTAGTAAGGTACGGGAATCACTAGGGCTTAAGAGCAGCGGTTGTAAAAAGCAGTCCGACAAAAAATGTTATAAAACAAAAGTTGTGGAAAAATGTTAGCTCTTTTACTTTTGTCTTATAACATTTTTTGTGGGACTGCATTTTACAAAGGCTGCTGTTAAGGTAATGCTTGGGTAAAACTGGAAAAGTCGGGTGAAAAACAGAGTTTTTTTAGTTTTAAATCTACATGCTAGTGAAATCAAGAAAAAGCTCTATATTATTCTAAGTTAGTTCGTTGCGGATCTTTTAACATATAAGTCTACAGTTAGACATAACACAGTGGGCAAAAACTATTTTGAAGTTATAATTTTTTTATGAAATTTCAAAAATAGCTCTTGCGCACAGTGTTATGTCCAACTATAGACCTATTATATGTTAAAAGAACCGCGACAATCTAATTTAGAATAATATAGAGAGCTTTTACTTGATTTCACTCGCATAAAGATTTTAAACTAAAAAAGCACTGCTTTTTGCCCGACTTTTCCAGTTTCACCCAAGCCTTACCTTAAGCCCTACACTGAAAATAAAAGTTGGAATTTTCCAATAAAATTCTGTCCGAATAGTTTGGAAACGCGATTTTCCAAACAGTTATCGCGAATTTTCGAAACAGTTGTTGGAAAACAAAATTTCCAGTCCTCTTTTTCGAAAGTTCCGAACAATTTGGAACAGCAAAAGAGGAACCATTTCACACCAGAACCAAGTTTAGAAGCATCAAAAATGACTATTTGCCAATATAATCAAAAATGTTAGTCAATTGTTTTTGAAAGATCTCTAAAAAGTTTCGAAATTTCCAAATAGTTCGGGGAATTGTGTTTCCAAACTGTTTGGATTTCAAATTTTCCAAACTGTTCGGGCTGCAAATTTTCTAGTTCATTGTCTGGAAATTTCCAACAAAACCTTTTACAGTGTAGTGCACGGTAAAAAAATCCAGCGTGAATTTTACCGACCCGGCGTGGCAACGCACCTGAACACGCGCTGGGCTGGGAATTTACATGCCCACATGGTCTGTGAATTCCCGGCCCAACCACCCGCGAAGTTACCAGCCCAGTGGGCAGGGAAGGTTGTCATTACAAGCCCAAACTGTAAATTCACTACGTGGGCTGGAAAGGAGCC